GATCATTTTGCCACTGGCCCGAGACAAAAATCAGATCCAGCGTGTGTCCACCCGTGTGAGTGGGGGCATGAATTAATTGGGTCAAGTCCAAGGCCGTCATGGATGCCAAGAACTCCTGAGCTGCCGCCGACGTCTCACCCACTGATGGCAGGTTGAAATCCCCCAAGACCATAAGTCTGGGGGTCCCAACCGCCACCCCCGGCTATCACGTCAGCCAGCCCGGGAGGGTTTGAAACCACGGAAGGCTAAATAAAGAATGACGCGCTAAGCCATAGATCACGGCTCCCAAGCCACTGGAGTTGCGTCGTTCCCAAAAAAGGGAAAATATCGCAGTGCAGGGAGCACGTTCCCCCGCTCCATCCGGTGCTCCAGCCCTCGGCTGCCGTTCTCCAGGGAACCCTAAACTCTGATTATTTGAAAGAAGAAAAGTAAAGAAGGATAATCATTTGGTATTTTTAGGAAGCGCAGCCGCCCGTGTCCAAAGCTGCAGGAACTAGCCGGGCGGGCTCCTTAGGAGGGGGAAGAGAGGGGGGTCTGAGAAAGTTAATTAAATGAGGGAAGCAATTAAGCCCTCACAGCAGGGGAGATGAGCTGGGGGGGGTCTTCCTGCTCTGACTCCTGGAGGTCTCTCTCTCTCTCTCTTTCATTTCTCTTTCTCTCATTTCTCTCCGTCTCTCTTTCATTTCTTTCTCTATCTCATTTCTCTTTCATTTCTTTCATTTTTCTCTTTCATTTCTCTCTCTTTCATTTTTCTCTCTTTCATTTTTTTCATTTCTCTTTCATTTTTCTCTTTCATTTCTCTCATTTTTCTCTTTCACTTTTCTTTCATCTTTCATTTCTTTCTCTTTCATTTTTCTCTTTCATTTCTCTTTCATTTTTCTCTTTCATTTTTCTCATTTCTCTCTTTCATTTCTCTCATTTCTCTCTCTTTCATTTCTCTCTCATTTCTTTCATTTTTCTCTTTCATTTTACTTTTTCATTTCTCTCATTTATCTCTCATTTTTCTTTCATTTCTCTCTCTTTCATTTCTTTCTCTTTCATTTCTCTTTCATTTCTCTCTCATTTCTTTCATTTCTCTCATTTCTCTCTCATTTTTCTCTCTTTCATTTCTCTTTCATTTCTTTTTTTCTCTTTCATTTCTCTCATTTCTCTCTTTCATTTCTCTTTCATTTCTCTCATTTTTCTTTTTAATTTTTAATTTTTTTCTCTTTCATTTCTCTCTTTATTTCTCTTTCTTTCATTTTTCTCTCTTTTATTTCTCTCTCTCTCTCTTTCCTTTCTCTCTCTCTCTCCCTCTCTTTCTCTCCCGCCCTTCCACGGCTCATTTGAGCCAAGAGCCTCAAACGGGGAGAGAGAGAGAGAGAGAGAGAGAGAGAGAGAGGAGGGAGAGGGAGAGAAAGAAAAACATCTGGAATGCATCAGACCAGGGGTCTCCAACCCCCAGGCTGTAGCCCACTACCGGGACACGGCCTGTTCGGAACCGGGCCCTGTGGGAGAAATAGGCAAAGCTCGTGCGAAAGCTCCATTTGTACGAGTGGAGGGTGTGCGCGCCTGCCCCTTGCACAAACGGAGCTGTTAGACGTGCACCTGTAACTCATACACCCGTGCAGGTCTGCCAAGCTGGGAAGATTAGGGACGGCTGCATCAGACGCTTAACTCTGAATGCTGGTTTAATCCTTGCATTCACGCGACACGACCAAACCCTGGCTGGGTTCACAGCTGGGCCCTGAACCCCCGAGAACTCATCCGAGCCGAATCTTGCGGGGTCCATCCCTGCAGTAAAGCGTGAGCCCCGGTTTTACTTTTCAGCGCAGTGGAACAGAGCGCCTTCAAGCAGGATCTTTTGGGGTTGCGGCTACAGAAGACCTTGCGTGCAGAATGCTTGCTCTGCAAGGCTTCCTGGCCCAGCTGTTGCGACGGTTAAGTTGACTCCCATTTTTACTCTGACCCGCCTGTCCTGAAGCCAACCACCTTGGCTCCCCGTAGCCAGAAGTCCACCTTGATGTTGCCCTGAGAAGCTAACTTTTTTTTTTAATTTTTATTTATTCTTTTTTCGCTATACAACAAAAAATAAAAACAAAAATGGAAAAAAAAATACATATTTTTCCCTTTAACAGAGCTGTGTTATAAACCTCATATATATTATTTACAATTTATTTACATCAGTAATCATATCTTTTTCTTTCTCTGTTCTAGCCAATGATAACATTTGTTCCATATTTCATAAAATTCTGTGGCCTCGTCTTTTAATTCTAGCGTACGTTTGTTCATTTCCGTGCATTCTAGAATTTTGTGTATGATCATATCATTTGTAGGTATGTTTTCAACACTGAGCATAAACTATGCGGGCTGCTGTTAAAATGTGTATAATAATGCATTGGAGTTGTTTTTCCATCTTTGAATTTATTATACCCAAAAGAAATCGTTCCGGTTTGAGTTCAATTTGCATCTTACTTATCTCCTGTATCCAGTTCCCTTATCCGTTTGCTTTGGGGCACAGCCACCACATGTGATAAAATGTTCCTTCCTTATTTTTGCATTTCCAACATGCCGGATTCATATTTTTGTATATTTTGGCCAATCTCGCTGGTGCTAAATGCCATCTATAGAACATTTTGTATTGATTTTCCCTATAGGCAGTTGACCGTGTCAGTTTGCAATTTATGTTCCATAATCTTTCCCATTCTTCCGGTTTTATATTTCGTCCCACATGTCGTGCCCACGCTATCATTGGCCCTTTCACTATTTCGCGACGGTTAAGTTGACTCCCATCTTTATTCTGACCCGCCTGTCCTGCAGCTATCGACCTCAGCTCCCCGTAGCCACAACTCCACTTTGACGTTGCCCTGAGGGGCTAACTTTCTACAGGAAAAGAGGGCAGAAGGTTCACCCACCTCTGCACAATGGAAGAATATTCAGGCAGGGATGGGGCAGGGCAGAGACCCCCGTGCTCACCTGGTAGACTCCTTGGCCAGCAAGGCCACGTAGGTGACCACGAAGTTTTGAAACTTCCGGCATTGTTCTTCCCAGCGGTCATCCATGGAATAGTAGCTGGGCAAGGGCGCGCCAAAGAGGACTTCGCTACGCAAGAGGGAGCTCTTCTTGTTCTCGGCCGAGAGACCCTCGTCCACGTACCAGTAAAACTCCGGGTGGGTCATAGCCAGCTCGAGAGACCCTGCGGGAAACAGCAGCGTGACAGAATAACAGAAGGGACCTTGGAGGTCTTCTAGTCCAACCCCCTGCTCAGGCAGAAAAGCCGAATTCCATTTCGGACGAAGGGTTGCCCAATCTCTCCTTAAAAGCCCCCAATGTTGGAACGCCACAACTTCTGGAGGCAAGGCGTTCCACTGGCTCCAACTGTCGGGAAATTTCTTCTTAGCGGTCTGGGGAGGAAGCCTCGTCCAAAGGGGACGTCCTCAGTGGTGGGATTCAAATAGGCGAACAACCGGTTCTCTGCGTGGATGCCACTTGTGGGCCTGGGCAACCAAAAATTAGCTACCGGTTCTGCCGAACAGGTGCAAAACGACTGAATCCCACCACTGGATGTCCTCCTTTGCCCGGCCTTGCTAGTTGAGTATCCTCCACGCTACAATATGATTCCCAGCATGCTCTACAGAGCATGAAAACACTGGAGCTGGAGAGTATCAGAGTGGCTTGCTCTCTTTTTCCCTCCCCCTCCTTTATTGACACCGGCACTTTTGGCCACAAAAGGGTCAATTATTTAACAGACGTGGGATAGGCATGAGCTCTGGAGACTCTACTAAAAGAGCTCTGGTGGAGCAGTGGTTAGGATGCAGCATTGCAGGCAGACTCTGCCCACTGTCAGCAGTTCGATCCTGACTGGCTCAAGGGTGACTCAGCCTTCCATCCTTCCGAGGTCAGCAAAATGAGGACCCATTGTTGGGGGCAAGATGCTGACTCTGTAAACCGCTCAGAGAGGGGCTGTAAAGCAAGTGAAGCGGTATATAAGTCTTATTGCTAAGCAAGTAAGTAAGTAAGTAAGTAAGTAAGTAAGTAAGTAAGTAAGGAAGGAAGGAAGGAAGGAAGGAAGGAAGGAAGGAAGGAAGGAAGGAAGGAAGGAAGGAAGGAAGGAAAAAAATGAGAAGGGAAATGAGGAGAAAGAAGCCATGGTGGTGCAGTGCTTAGAATGCAGCATTGCAGGCTAACTCTGCCCACTGCCAGCAGTTCGATCCTGACCGGCTGAAGGTTGACTCAGCCTTCCATCCTTCCGAGGTCGGTAAAATGAGGACCCAGATTGTTGGGGGGCAACAGGCTGACTGTAAACCGCTTAGAGAGGGCTGTGAAGCATGGTAAAGTGGTATATAAGTCTAAGCGCTATTGCTACTCCTTGTCCTAACTCGGACCGATCCCCACCCACCCCACCACCCTCATGGCTCACCTTGGATGTCGGCGAGCTCTTGTCCGAGGCCGTCGTAGTATATCTTGCCCCCCCTCTCTGTGGGGAAGAAATAAGTCATGAGGGAGCTGGGAGGGGAGCAGTAGGAGTAGGCGCCCAACGGGAGGTCTTTGAGGACCTCGTGAGGCTTCCAGCAAAACTCCTGGAAGTGAGGATGGTCCATAATTTTACGCTCCACCTCGTGGATCGTCAGCAGCCGTTCCGAGGTGAAGATATTCTTCTCGGCGTCTCCCCGAGCCAGGAAGATGAGTTCAATGCGCCAGTGGGCGTGAGTCTGGGTGTTGGCGCTGACGGCTGCGCTCGGATACTCCCACCGAGGGAGGGGGCTTCGGGCCCGGTGGGAGGTGTGGTTGGCTGGACCGGCCTGATCCCTCCGGCGTGTATCTCTCCGCCGTCTTGGGGAGAGGTTTGGCCCGCCCAGCCGCGTGGCGTTGCGCTGGAGGTGCTGCAGCTTCTCAAAAATCAGCCTGCGCAAGGTCTCCGAGCTGAAGTCGGCCAGGTCTCGGCGGCTGCGTCCCCACAGGCCGAACTGGGACTTGAGGGCCAGGGTGAGGGCGTCGAAGCGCTGCGAGGACTCGTGGTTGCGGATCTCAAAGGCGTTGTACGAGATGTCGATGTCCAGAGCAGGGTAGTGGAGGAACATGGTGAGGGCCAAGCCGGCGGGAATGGCGCACCCCAAGAAGAGGATGAGGCTGGCGGAATAAGGGTTGGTGAAGACCCAGCCTACCACGGTCCAAAAATCCGAGGACGGGAGCGTCACGAAGGTGGCCCGGGGCCTGGGGTTCCACTGGCATTTCCCGCAGAGGCGGGACCCCCCGGTTTTCATGCCGGGGCCACAAGCCCCCTCCTCGTCTTCATGGGCACAGACATCTTGCAATAAAGCTTCATCCTCCGTGTCCATCCCTGGAGAGAGAAGAGAGAGGGGATCAAGAGGTCTGCACAGAACTGGAGACAACAAACGGGACTGTTGATCCGCTAACAACACAAAGAACCGCTTAAAAAATGGATCGCGCTTTCTGACACCAGCCAGAAAAAAAATCTGAAGGGTCCTGGGTGTTCTCTGAGCTTGGTGGTTTTCTTGCAGACAGTTCATTATCCAAACTAGGGAGCATCGTCAGTGCAAACCCACTTCCTTCTAGCACTGATGGTGTTACCTAGCTGGGTCATGAAACGTCTGCAAGAAAACCACCCAGCTCAGAGAGCACCAAGGACCCCATAATCCTCCTCCTCCTCCATTCTGCAAACCCCACTCCCTTCTAGCACTGATGGTGTTACCTAGCTGGGTCATGAAACGTCTGCAAGAAAACCACCAAGCTCAGAGAGCACCAAGGACCCCATAATCCTCTTCCTCCTTCTCCTCCTCCTCTCTGCAAACCCCACTCCATTCTAGCACGGATGATATTACCTAGCTGGGTAATGAAATGTCTGCACAAAAACAGCAAAGCTCAGAGAGCCCCGAGGACCCCATAATCCTTCTCCTCCTCCATTCTGCAAACCTCACTCCCTTCTAGCACTGAGGATGTTACCTAGTTGGGTCATGAAACGTCTGCAAGAAAACCACCAAGCTCAGAGAGCACCAAGGACCCCATAATACTCTTCCTCCTCCTCCTCCTCCTCCATCATTCTGCAAACCCCATTTCCTTCTAGCATGGATGATGTTACCTAGTTGGGTCATGAAATGTCTGTAAGAAAACCACCAAGCTCAGAGAGCACCAAGGACCCCATAATCCTCCTCCTCTACCACTCTGCAAACCCCACTCCCTTCTAGCACTGATGGTGTTACCTAGCTGGGTAATGAAACGTCTGCATGAAACCAGCAAAGCTCGGAGAGCACCAAGGAGCCCACAGTTCAACCGAGAGCTACACATATTCTCCTTGATCAGAAAAATAAAAAAAATAAACCCGTATCTCCAGCTAGCTTTATGGAACTACTCGTGCTTCAAAACCAAAACAAACCCTCTAAGCTTGAAGAGAAGGGGGGGAAAAAATCCATACAAAGCCAACATCTTAACCAGGCATGGATTTTGTAATTACTAAAACGGCTTTTCAAATTTAACTGAACCACGGGAAGTATTTCAGATTGCAATCTCTCCCTTTTACTCCGGTTAATATACGGGATTTCAAAGCTCAACCTAACACGGCATAGCATCCGTGTGTGTCCGGCCGTATTTTCTTCTGATTTGGTGCTGGGTTACAGTGCCTGCGAGTCCCGGCCAACACAGCTGGGGATGATGGGTGCAGAGAAGAGCGCAGAGAAGAGCAACAAAGATGATTACGGGCCTGGAGGTAAAATATAAAAAAAATGGTTGCAGGAATTGGGTATGTGTAGTCCAATGAAAAGAAGGACTGGGGGGATACTGTGGACCACGGTATCATGCTGCGGCGTCTGGTGGAGCTGGGAGTGGGAGGCACCGTTATGCGGTGGTTCTCTTCCTTCCTCACCGATCGCACGCAGTCTGTATTGGCAGGGGGGCAGAGGTCGGCCCCAAGGCCCCTAACTTGTGGGGTGCCACAAGGGTCGGTCCTCTCCCCCTTATTGTTCAATATTTATGTGAAGCCGCTGGGGGAGATCATCCGTGGCTTTGGGGTGGACTTCCATCAGTACGCTGATGATACTCAGCTGTACATTTCCACCCCAGGCCACCCCAATGATGCCCTTGACGTGATGGCCCGATGTCTGGAGGCTGTACGGGTCTGGATGGGGAGAAACAGACTCAGGCTCAACCCTTCCAAGACCGAGTGGCTGTGGTTGCCGGCTCCCAGGTATAGTCAGCTGACTCCATCGCTGACTATAGGGGGCGAAACTTTGGCTCCCTCAGAGAGGGTACGCAATCTGGGCGTCCTCCTGGATCCACGGCTGACACTGGAAGAGCCAGTTGACGGCTGTGGCCAGGGGGGCATTTTACCGGGTACGCCTGGTACACCAGCTGCGGCCTTTTCTGGACCGGGATGCCTTGCGCACAGTTACCCATGCTCTTGTCACCTCCCGCCTGGACTACTGTAACGCTCTCTACATGGGGCTCCCCTTGAGGAGCACTCGGAGGCTCCAGCTAGTCCAGAATGCAGCCGCGCGGGCGGTGATGGGAGCGACTCGTCGCTCCCATGTAACGCCGCTGCTGCGCGAGCTGCACTGGCTGCCTGTGGCCTTCCGGGTGCGCTTCAAGGTGTTGATTATCATCTTTAAAGCGCACCATGGCATTGGACCTGGCTACCTCCGAGACCGCCTTCTGCCACAGATCACCTCTCACCGGCCGATACGCTCCCACAGAGAGGGTCTCCTCAGGGTGCCGTCAACCAGACAGTGCCGGTTGGCGACCCCCAGGGGGAGAGCCTTCTCTGTTGGAGCCCCCACCCTCTGGAACGAACTACCCCCAGAGATCCGGGTGATTCCGGATCTCCCCTCCTTCCGCCGCGCCCTCAAGACATGGCTGTTTCAGCTGGCAGGACTGGCCTAGGGATATTTTAAATTGGATTTTAATCAACTTTTAAAATAAGAAAAGGCCTATTTAAATATATCTTTTAATTTATTTTAAATTTTGTATATTTGTATCAATTGTTTTGTTTTAA